CTGCAGCCATTGTTCCGAGGGAAGTTCTTTTTTATTTTCCTTTCTATTTATCCATCCTACCTGTTTCAATTTGCGTAGTCTTTAACGTGGACAACGCCTTTGGCTACATACATCTACCGCCATCTTCAAAATATAAAAACGCTAAAATTATTACTTGTTAGTAATTGAATTACGTTCATTGTACGTCAATTTAACGAATAATTTATTACATGCAACGTCAATTTAAGTATAAATAAGCATTCTTAACAAAACAATATATAATAGTAGTTTCATATCATTACGCAAACATTGCAATTCAAGTTAACTAGTGTTCATAATTGTAAAACAATTAAAATAACCTTAATATTTATTTTATTTATAGTTTGTAATTAAAGAAAACATATTGCATTCTAAATATAGTGGTATAATCTATATATTTATTTTGCAACGCCCCAATTTAAAAAGATTTAAAGGAATTGTAGATATTAAACATAGTTGCCGACTATTCCAGGCGTATTCCGGTAACGAAGATTTGCTGTTGCAACAAGAACAATATCAATCGTCGTGCAATCATCGCCTGCAAACCGGTTTATTAACTCGTCGCTTCATTGAACGTAAAGTATTCACTGTTTATTGTTAACATTGTACATTAAGTGTGAACTAAATTACCTGTATATTTACCTTTTGCGAAGTTATTTACACCGTCAAAATGAGTGAATTAAAAGAACTTATTAAACAAAGGGGTCATATTAGAGCTCGACTTACTCTATTTGAAAAATATTTAACACCCTTAATGCATTGCAAAGAAACTAATACATTGAAGATACATGAGCTCAATCTTCGATTAAATAAATTACGTGACCTTTCATGTACCTTTGAGGAAGTTCAATCAAAAATTGAGATGTTGGACGAAGACACTGGCAAACAAGTAGAAGAACGCGAGACAACAGAGAATTCATTTTTTTATTTGATTGCTCAAGCTCAATCCTTGTTAGAGTTTTTCGAAAATTCAAATAGGGTTGAATCTTCATGCAACCAAACATGTAATAGTTATAGCAATTTAAAGTTACCGCCTTTAGAAATCCCACCTTTTGACGGCGCTCCAAATAAGTGGCTTTCCTTTAGGGATACATATTTATCTTTAATTCACAACAATGAAAATATTGACGATATTAGTAAATTTCATTACCTTAAATCATATTTAGAGGGAAATGTTTCTTCTGTCATTAACTCTGTTACTGTATCTTCTAAAAATTATGCAACCGCTTGGCAACTACTTTGCGAACGGTATGATAATAAGCGTTTATTGATAAATGAGCACATAAAGGGGCTATTTTCAATTGAACCGTTGCATAAAGAGACTGAGGCTGGCATTCGTAATTTAATTGATACGTTATCGAAAAATCTGAGTGCTTTAAATTCTTTAGGTGAACCCACTGACAAATGGGATACAATTATTATTTATATTGCCTCGACAAGGTTAGACAGTGCGACTGCTAGGAAATGGGAGGAATTTCGAAGCAATACAATTTCTCCTAACTTAGAAGAGTTCTATTCATTTCTTCGTCAACGCGCAATGGTTTTGGAAACCATGAATGCTAATAGGTCATGCAAAAATGAAAAACGTTATAGTGCAACAAAAACGAATTCATTTGTTACTTCTTTTACCCAGTCCTCCTTTGACAAGCAGTGTGCAATCTGTAACCAAGGTCATAAATTATATGAGTGTTTAAAATTTAAATCTTTACCTGTTGAAGAGCGTATTTCTAAGATTTCCCTATCAAAATTATGTAGCAACTGCTTTCGCGGCGGCCATCAGGCATTTCAGTGCAAGTTGAGTGGCTGTAGAATTTGCAAGAAAAAACACAACACTCTATTACATAAACAACATTCCTCACAAATTATACGCATGCAACAACTTATACCACAACAAAGCTAAACTACACCACAACAAAACCTACAAGAACTAACATCTACTAATAATAATAACTTTACAAAAACAAGTGACGCAAACTTACCTAACATTACAGTTGACTCAAACGTACCCAGCCCCTCTTCTCTTGTTTCTATGTCTGCTGTCTCCACAAATCAAGCCGTTATTTCTACTGCGTTGGTAAAAATGACAAACAATAACAAGGTTTTTATGCTGAGGGCTTTACTAGATTGTGGCAGCCAGTCATCTTTTATTAGTGAAGGGGCTCAAAAGAAAATGGGCTTTTACAAAATAAAGGAATCTTACAAATGTGTGTCAGGTATAGGTAATACTGTTTTAAATATTACTGAACATTGCTCAATACGGATACATTCACTATATAATTCATTTAATATATCAGTTAAATGCTATATTCTTCCTAAAATTACTGATTGTCTCCCTCATGCTACAATTCGTTATCAAGAATTAGGTATTCCAAACAATGTACAACTTGCAGATCCAAAGTTTTACCAACCTTCCGAGATTGATTTACTATTGGGTGCTGACACATTTTGGGAGCTGATTGGAACGAATAGAATAAATTTGGGGCCTCAAAGGCCAATATTACTAGAAACACAATTAGGGTGGATAGTGGCTGGCCCCATGGGAGAAGGTTATTTTAACAGTAACAATTCAAATATACAATGTAAATTTTTGAATGAGATTCGCAAACAATTATCAAAGTTCTGGGAACTTGAAGAAGTTCCTAATGTTACGTACAATAAAGACAATTATTGTGAAACAGTATTTAATACAACTAGTCGCCGTGAAGACGACGGTAGATTTTGTGTACAAATTCCACTAAAAGATTCTGTAGAAATTTTAGGTGATTCATACAATATTGCAGAAAAAAGGTTTTTCCAACTTGAGAAAAAATTAAACAACAACGATAAATTAAAACAAGAATATCAACATTTTATTAAAGAATATGAGCGTTTAGGTCACATGACCAATGTTTCTAAGCCTCTATTCGGTTATTATCTTCCACATCATGCTGTAATTAGAGAAAATAGTGAGACTACGAAGCTTCGTGTAGTTTTTGATGCTTCTGCAAAAACGTCTACCGGAATATCACTTAACGACATACAACATATCGGCCCTGTAGTACAGGATGATTTATTTTCAATTTTGTTAAGATATCGGCAACATAAATACGTTGTCACAGCAGATGTGGAAAAAATGTATCGCCAAATCATGGTAGATCCAAATCAGCGAAATTTGCAAATTATTTTATGGCGTGACGAACCATCACAGCAAATTAAAATATATCAATTAAATACAGTGACGTATGGAATGGCATCGGTGCCATTTCTGAGTACACGTTGTCTATTGCAACTTTCAAAAGAATGCAAAGATAATAAAATAGCACAATTAATAAGGACAGACTTTTATGTTGATGACTTTCTTTCTGGCGCTGAAACTGAAAGTGAATTACAAAATATAATTAAATCAGTCACTACAGTTCTCAGTACAGCCTGCTTTCCGCTAAGAAAATGGCGAACTAATGCACATATTCACCTTCAAGGTGAATCAAATACATCGTTGCCAAAAAATTTAGATTTGACTTCGCAATCCAGCGTTTTAGGTCCGAAATGGGATCCAACTAAGGACGTTCTTCGATTTCCAGTTAACATACAGTTAGATCAAAATATTACCAAAAGAACGATTTTGTCCAATTCAGCCAAGTTATTCGACCCACTAGGTTTGCTTAGTCTTTGTACCATCATACCTAAAATAATGCTACAAAAATTATGGTTGACAAAACTTGATTGGGATGATTCGGTGGATAATGTATTAAAGGCAAAATGGCAAGGTTTCATAAATAATTTAAACACCGTATCGTTCATTGAAATACCTAGATGCGTCCTCATTAATAAACCTGTAGTGATAGACTTACATACATTCTCGGATGCTTTACAAGTAGCATATGCTTCTGCAGTCTATCTCAGATCAGTTGATGGTTCAGGTAATGTTCTGGTCAGCTTACTTTGTGCGAAAACTAAAGTTGCTCCAGTTAAACCAACGACAATACCTCGATTGGAACTGTGTGGTGCCTTGCTTTCGGCACGATTAAGTGTTAAAGTATTAAAGGCTATTCGTTGCAAAATTGATTCAGTCTATCATTGGACTGACTCTACAATAGTTTTGGGCTGGCTATCCTCTCAACCATGCGATTTGAAACCATTCGTTTCAAACCGCGTTGGTGAAATAAGAGAACTTACTAGTGCAGATGTTTGGAGGCACGTCCCTGGAGATAAAAACCCAGCAGATCGGTTTAAATCCTAAATTAATTAATTCTGCCACGCTTTGGTGGCAAGGACCGTTGTTTTTAACCGAAAACTCGTGTAATTGGCCCAAAATTATAAACATTAAAAATATTGGTAATTTACCTGAAATGAAAGCTTATACTAAAACACTAGAACCTACAACTACAGTACACGCCTCAACTACAGTACAATCTACAACTACACTACAATCTACGTGTTCATCAAATACTACTTTAGCTGTTAGCCAGTCAATGATAGTAAATGTGGAAAGATTTTCAAGGTTCACAACATTACAAAGATCTTTAGCTTACGTTCTACGTTTTATTCATAACCTCAAACATAAACATCACAAATTCACTGGCCCCTTAACAACCAAGGAATTAGAGTCATCTTTAGAAATATTAATAAAACAACATCAGAACGAATGCTTCGCAGATGAAATTAAGGTTTTAAGGTCTAAGGGAAACTTACCAAATAAGTCCCGCTTATTGGCATTAAGTCCATTTATCGATGCACGTGAAATAGTTCGCGTTGGCGGCCGTACTAAAAACTCCAATGAAGCTTACGAAAGAAAATACCCAATTTTATTAGAAACGAAAAATACCTTTTGTAAATTACTATTTGTTCACTATCATAAAAAACTTTTACATTGTGGACCTCAACTCTTACTGACCGATATAAGAAGCAAATTTTGGCCTTTAAGAGGTAGAGTATTAGCAAGATCCACTGTCAACAACTGCCAACTGTGTAAAAGAATAAAGGCAAAGTGTTTTATTCCTATAATGGGTAATTTGCCAGCAACTAGAGTTACTCCAAATCTTCCTTTTCACGTAAGCGGTGTGGACTTTGCCGGACCCTTTTTTATTACTGACCGTAAAGGTCGCGGTTGCAAAATAACAAAATGTTATTTGAGTTTATTTATTTGTTTCGCTACAAAGGCCTTGCATCTCGAAGTAGCAAGCGATCTCACTACCGATATTTTTATACTATGTTTAAGACGTTTTATATCCCGAAGAGGAAAGCCTCTTAAATTATATTGTGACAATGGTAAAAATTTTGTCGGTGCAAATAATGAAATTACTAATTTTTTCAAATTTAACAGTGAAAGCATATCTGGTTTTGCAGCCGATGAAGGCATACAATTTAAATTTTCCCCTCCGTATTCCCCGCATTTTGGCGGACTCTGGGAGGCAGGTGTCAAGTCTGCTAAGTACCACGCAACTAGAATATTAGGCGACAAACATCTTACGTTTGAGGAGTTGTCTACTTTATTTGCGCAAATTGAGGCAATCCTTAATTCCAGGCCATTAACCCCTCTTTCCTCAGACCCCAATGACCTCAATCCTTTAACACCAGCGCACTTCTTGATCGGCAGGCCGCTTACGTCACTACCAACGGAAAATTTACTAGACATTAATTTAAATAGACTCGATAGGTACCGATGTCTTGAAAAGCTGCGTCAACACTTCTGGGAACGCTGGCGAAAGGAATATTTAAGCGAATTGCAACAACGGCACAAATGGCAGGTTAACCAACAAGCATTTAAGGAAGGGGATTTGGCAATTATAAAAGAAGCTAATTTACCACCGTTAAAATGGCGTATGGCGCGAATACATAAATTATATCCTGGTTCTGATGGAATTGTACGAGTTGCAGATGTATACACGAAGAATGGCATTGTGCGTCGGGCTGTCCACAACCTGTGTCCCTTGACAAATTCATCCACAACAGGAGCACCTCAAAATCCTGAAGACTTTGAGGGGGGGGGGAGGATGTTAAATCTTGAACGCGTCCAAGAGTGACGTCACGCATGGGAACGAACTGGCCGGTCCCGGCCATTACGCTTCGAGCTCCGCACACAGCAACAAGCTTTAAATTTAATTATTTGTAATTACTAATTAAATAGCATATTAAATGTACTGCATTTCATTGCGGAGTTTTCATTGCAATATCCTCAAGAAATTGAAGACCAGCGTGATCACCCTCTATATGTTTCATCTGCTTCGGTGTACCGGTTGTAGCAGCCGGCACGGGCAGGAGTACCCCCCCATCGCGGGGGCAAGGTGGCGCCTCAGCGCCCTCTGTGGTCGATGGTGAGCGTGGTGGCATCTGGTGGCGGACGGCGTCGGTATTGTCCGACGGGCCTCCTTCCAGACCGACGGTCCACGCCATGGCTCCCCTTCCTTGCGAACGAGTGATGGGCATCTTGATTCTGAAAATTCTGCTGACTTTAATACGGTAGTGTCTATGTATCCGGTTCCGAAATACAAACGGATGAGGGATTCAGCTCGTACGACTAGCGAATGCTGGACTCGGCTCGAAGTATAAACGGAAGTATCCGGCTCGAAGGACCAACGAATGTGCCAGACGGGCGTAACTCTCCGGAGTAAATGTTGTCGAAGATACTCCGCGAGCCGCTCACGTCCTACACCTATAGGTTCCGGAGGATACTTTCACTACCGCCTTTGTGTATGCTGTTGGAGAACTGTGGACTGAGGTTCAGAATTAAAAATGCACGATTTATAAATTAAAACAGCAAGGGAGTGGCCAGCGGTTCGACTGATTAATTGGTTGCGAAATATTATAACTATTTATTTATTGAACACGGTTGTTCAACTATGCTTGTTCACTATATATTTCAAAACACAGATTTAATTAAAACACACGGTAATATTAAAACTTCTATTGGTTTTTAAAATTTCTATTCGTATTTTCTAATATCTATTGGTAATATCAAATATCTATTGGCAGTAACAAGTTTCTATTGGTATTTTCTAATATATCTATTGGTAATTTCGAATATCTATTGGAAGTAACAAATTTCTATTGGTAGTATCCAAAATATCTATTGGTAGTAGCTGGTTTTTTAACACTACTGACTAGCAGCTATTAATCAACTAAATTAGTTGAATTTAACACTTTTGTAACTGCGAATATCAGTTACCACTTTTTCCGTCTAGCTAACACTTTTCACTATATGTAACGGCGAAATTTCCGTTACCACTTTTTTCAGCTAGCTAACACTTTTTCACTATATGTAACTGCGAATTTTCAGTTACCACTTTTTTTTAGCTAGCTAACACTATTTTACTATATGCAACTGAGAATTTTCAGTTGCCACTTTTTTCGACTATGTGTAACTGCGATTTTCAGTTACGACCTTTTTCGGCTAGCTAAACTTTTTCTATTTCACTATAACTTTTCACTGTGTTCTGCTACTAGTCACTTCAGCTACTACCGGATACTACTGCTTGTTACTGGTAGTTCTTCCTACTACCATGTTACTATTATCCTGTCTTCCGCACATATGCACTTGTTGCATACTGCAGGTCTCGGGCCTCGGGGCTGACCCCATTACCCGGAATCTCCTCGCGCGGTGCATTACTATGCACCGGTCGTGGGAGCCGTTCTGGCATTGTTAGGTGTTGTAGTGTCACAGGTTTGGTTCCCCGGTCACTAAAAAAAAAAAATTTTCTTCTACCAAATTTTTCAGGAGGCGGGTAATGTGGCCCGCTCCTGAAAAAGTAGCATAATTTGGCCTTTTTTTCCTTAAAAGGCGCCTAATTCGGCCTGAGCCTGAAAAAGACGCCTAATTCGGTCTATGGTTGTCTGGTAAATTTTTTCCTGTCAAGTCAATATGGCCGGCGGCCGGGCGTCTGGGTTGGCCTGTCTGCGGCATTGCGGGTTATTACTCGACTCTCTAATCTCTATAGAGAGGAGTTCTCTTGGCAGAGGTCGCCCGTCCGGTGGTCGAGCATGTAGGGGTGCGAAATTTTGTAGGTGTTCGTGTGGCCCGTTATCAGCGCGGTCGAACATACCGCGCGCTAATCGGGCCACAAATTCCTTGATAGTTTCCATCTTGAGGTTCGCCGCGATGACGTCGTTCCGGACGTAGCGACCTGCACCGACGATGATTTGTAGACATAGGTTCTGCTGAACCTGCAGCCGCTGCCTCTGCCGTTGGCTCAGGAGTGCGTACCAGGCCGGCGCGGCGTAGGTGATCTTCGTCCTAATGTATAACTTGTATATTTTAATTTTGGTTTTCAGTGGTAGTTTGGATGCCAGGACTGGACGGAGCGCCGCCCGCGCACATCTGGCATTGCGGACGACGATGTCGATGTGCGCGGTCATGCGCAACATCCTGTCAATCCGGCACCCAAGGTAAGTCACGGCCTTTTCGTACGCAATCTCCTGGCCTCTAAGCGTCAACGGGGGCGGGAAGTTCCGGTAGCGGCGGGTGAGGAGGGCGGCCGTTTTCCCAACATTTACAGCCATCCTCCACTCATCCAGCCACGATGGAAGCAGGTCCAGCAGGCGCTGCATCTTGACGACGGCGAGATGGGGCCTTCTGGACGAGGCGAAGTAGGCGCTGTCGTCCGCATATAACGCCAGCTCCACGTCGTCCTCCCATTCGCGTAGATGTCCAGCCAGAGTAGGGATGTCATTTGTATAAGCCGCGTACAGGATCGGTGAAAGACAACTGCCCTGTGGTACGCCAGCTCTTATTGGTTTCACTGCGGATTCGGCATCTTCGACACAGACGTAGAAGCTCCGGTCGGCTAGAAACGACGCCACTAGCCGCAGCATAGCCGGAGGGGCACTCGTCTGTTGTTCCATCTTAAAGAGTAAACCAGAGTGCCACACCCTGTCGAACGCCTTCTCGATATCGAGGAAGACGCCCAACGATGTGCGATCCCGGTTGTATTCGGCCGACAACAGGTGCAGCACTCTGGTCAGCTAAGTTGCTGCGGAGTGTCCGCTCCTGAATCCGTGTTGTTCCGCCCGCAATTTGATACACGGGCGGATTCTTCTCAAGGTAATTCTTTCGAATAATTTGGCTATGTGCGGTAGCAGCGTTATAGGTCTGTAACTAGCTGCTCTACGCCTGTCCTTCCCGGGTTTCGGCAGAACTATCACCTTGCCTTTCTTCCATTCCTCCGGGAAGTGTGAAGTCCGCAGTATGCCATTGTAGAGTCGTCCTAGCTCTACAATGGCTCTATGGGGCAGTTGTCGGAGTGCAGCGTTCGTAATCCGGTCGTGCCCCGGCGCCTTCCTCGGTTGCAGGCGGGAGATCGTCCTCCGCATTTCAGCGGGGGAGATAAACCATTCTCCTGCAAGCGGTGGCGTGGGCAACGACAGGAACTCACGTACGCGGCTCTCCTTTTGGGCATGAAGCTCCATGTACTCCGCACTTGCTGGGTTCGGCATAAATTGCTCCTCGAAGTGCTCGACTAGGATATCCGCTCTGCCTTTGGCCTCGTAACAACGCCCGCCCGCGCTGTTGGTCAGCGGGCAGATGGGGGGTCTGGTCTTAGTTAGCTGTCGGTTCAATTGATAGAGCGACGCTTCCTGTTCTCCAGCCATCCATATGCGCCGCTCCCAGGCCCTTCCTCTGTAGGCCTGTATTGCAACCGACAGCTCATCCGTCAGTGCATTTAATCTAGTTTTAATCCGTGGGCAGCGCGTGCGTGCCCAGAGCTTCCTCAACGCTCGCTTGTGATTGAGCTGCGCACGTAGTTCCTGTGGCAGCTTCTCTCTCCGATGTGTTAGAGGGACGATCGTAGAGGCCGCGTTGAGGGCTTCTTGGATGTTAAGAGTTATTCTGGCAGCGGCGGCCTCTACGTCGTCCGCCGAGGTAATCGATGTATGTACTGGAGGCCTCTCCTGCAGGTGTTGCTGGTAGAGCGTCCAGTTAATCTTGGTAGTAAAAGCTCTGGGCAGCGTAGTCACTGCCTTGAGGCCAATGGTTATCAGAATCGGGAGGTGCTGAGACATCAGGTCGTACAGCACCTCTACCACTACCGGGTAGTTGACGTTCCTAGCGAGCACGATGTCCAATACATCCGGACTTTTTCTGTGATCTGTTGGAACGTGTGTTGGTTCTTCGGGACCTAAAACGTCGTAGTTATTTCGTTCTGCGTCCTTGTAAAGCTCACGACCCGGCGGGTTGATCAATCTTGATCCCCATGCCGGGTGTTTTGCGTTTAGGTCCCCCGCGATGATGGTTGGTGCTGTGCCTTCCATGATCGTCCGGATGTCTGAGGAGTGAAATGGAGTCCCTGGCGGACGGTATGCTGCGAAGATCTTCAGTTCCTCGCCCGCCGCCTCCATTTTTATGCCGATGGAGCGCGTCGTATGGTATGACGGTAATTCGAGCTCTAGGTGGACGATGTCCTTTCTCACTAGAACCGCCGTGCCTCTATAGGCGGTTTCTAGAGCGTTGACTTCGTCCCTCCTGTAAATGTGGTAGTTGGGCATCTTAACGTGCATAGATGGCCTCAACTTTGTCTCCCCCAGCAAAATTATATGTATGTTTTGTTGTTGAGCTATAGTGCGGAGTTCATGGAGCTTGTACTGGATACCGTCCGGGTTCCAGTATAGCAAGCGCAGGTTCGTATCACTCGCCTCTGTAGTGCCGAGCCAGTAGTGTCGACAGTGCTCTCATCACTGCTGTTATTGGGTCGGTGCCAGCTCTGACGTCTGCCAGTACCTGGCTACCGACCTCTATGGCGATGCCAACCAGCCTCAGGATTGCGTCCGTGGTGGCAGAGTTGGCGGTTGGTTGTCTTGATGTTGCTGATGGTACTGGTTTCGGCTGGGCATAGGTATCTTTCCTTAAGGTAGAGCGCGCTCTATGTGTAGAGCGGGCTCTATTTTCTGATAGAGCCCTTTCTAGCGCTCTACCTTCTGTAGCGGTTGTCTTCTTGATTGCCTGCGCTTGCGAGGCTATCATTACTGCTGGTGTCGGGGTAGAGGTCGCTGCCTGAGGAGGAGGCTGCACCTTCTTCTTCTTCTTCCGCCG